TCCTTCTCCAAATTTAGTACCAAAAAAATAAAATTTGATTTACTATCCAAAAAATTGATATAATTTAGTACTCCAAAAAATTGATTAAATAAATTTTGATATTAATTTGATAACAATAAAATTAATTTGACATTAATTCAACAAACTTAAATATAAATTGAATAAAATTAAATGTCAATTTTTGATAAAGTTATATATTAATTTACAATCTAATGTTCATTTCGTATTAAATATTATTTGGTGTTTATAGTCAACGTGCTATTTTTTATTTACATTACGTGTCATTTACAAATTAAGAAGTAAAAAACAAAATACATGTCATCAGATATATAAAAACTTTAATTAATTTCATGGAATAAATAATTGCATAACATATTGTTTCATTTATTTTATGGAGTAACTAAAAACAAAAACAATACTGGGAAAACAAAAAAAAAAGGATAATAGTTTGGATATATATGTGAGAATCTTAGAGTTGTAAAAGGAATGAAAGTCTAATTAGGACCACCAGATCAAAATAATTTGAGCAATGAAAAATTTAAAACAAACAGTCCAACTACTCTATTATATAAATTTTAAGTAGGTTATAGTAACATATAACATGCCATTAACTTTTCCGTTACATTTTTACATAGTTTATGGTTTTTTTTATAATTTTGGTCTCATAAATTGTGAAAAATATCCTTCTGGATTGAAAAGTTGAGCACCTTTAATCCGAATGTGAGTGGGGGTAGGGTTGGAATCGTATCCTGTGTCATGTCGTTACGGATTTGTGTCGAGCATTAATTAACCCTAAAATTTTATTATCACTTAATTAAATGCATGCTTGTACTTTTTCTATAAACACAAAATTTACTTAATAAACAAAACAATAAAAATTAGTAAAAATGTCGTTTTTTGTACAATAATTATGTCAATATTTGATATACAATAACAAATAATTGATACTTTATTTATATAATATTAGTTAATCGTGTCAATTTTGTGTTGTTCATATTTGACACTAACCCGACTCAATTATTATTTGTGTTAATGAATCGTGTCATTTACAGGTTCGTATTGAGAAATGATCAATCCTAACCTGTAAATTTTTTGCCAATTTTGAATCGTGTTTTTATATTATGTCAAAAAAAAATTTCACTCTTAAATGACATTAGGGGTGACAATTTTTGATATAACACGAACACACGACTCGAACTCGACACGAAATTAGTTGATTAGAGTTTATCATTTCTCAACACAAACCAATAAATGACACGACTTATTAATGCGAATAATAAATGGATTGGGTTAATGTCAACCACGAACAACACAAAATTGACACGATTAACACGTTTAATTAATATTATATAAATAAAATTCTAATTATTTGTTATTGTTTATTAAGATTGACATAATTATTGTACCAAAAAAAGACATTTTTACTCATTATTATTGTTATTTTCATGAAGTTAATTTTTAATTTATGAGAAAAAAAAATGAGCATAAATGCAATTAATTGATAATAGAATGTTAGAATTAAATTTTAGCTCTAAGTTTTTTATTTGAAATTTATATGGGTCAATACAAATACGAACACGAACTCGACACGAAAATAAACAAGTCAATCGACACGACACGATTAGTTAAATAGATTAAATTAAGGATTGAGTGGTGCTTGACACGAATTCACAATGATACAATACGAATTCGGCAAAATACGATTGTCACCCCTAAGTTGGGTGAGGGTGTCTAATTCTCTCTCTCTCTCTCAAAAGAAAGGAATAAGTCTCGGTCTCTTTTTTTAGTTTATTCCTTCAGACCCTGATTTTAATTAAATTTGGATTTTTCACGTAAGTAAGGAGAAGAAAATGGAAGTGAAAGGAAAAAAAATTACAGGCTGCTGAAAAATCCACAGCAAATCGGCATCGATCAAGAAGAGAAAGAAAGTTGGTCTCGCTACAAGATGTACTCAGTTACTCTCCATAAGTCTATCCACTTTTTTTTCCTGTGATATATTGAGAACATTCCTGAATTGGCAAAGCTAAAGAAGAAGCTAAGACATGAAGAGAATGTTCACAGAGCATTGGAAAGGGCTTTCAAGAGACCTTTAGGATCTCTACCTTCCCTATCTCCCTCCATATGTTAGTACATCAGTACTAATATAATTCAACTTCCACTTTATTAGATCTCTGACATTTCTTATATATATGTAATTGGAATTCTTTTCTTTTTTTAGTCCAAAGAACTAGTGCAATGTTTTTTTTAATTTGATGTACAATGTTGCAGACACTAGAGCTTCTTGCTGAAGTTTATGTCTCGAACTTCAAGGGTAGTTCAAGTACTAACAAGAATGAGCTATTAATTTAGATGTTCTGAGTTCGAATCTTGACAGCTCTTTAAGGTCAAGCCATTAGAGATTATATCCCTTATGAATACCCTAATCTAAGTGTGAATGGTCTGTCTTTGATCAGACTAAAGAATGGATAAGTCAAAGTGCGCATAAGTTGACACAAATATTTCTGACCGTTGAAAAAAAAAAAAAAAAGTTGCTATCTTGGAAGAGGAGGTTCTTTGGCTGGAAGGGCAGGTTGCGAATTTTAGACAAGGTACATGTGAAAGTCTCTGAGGATATCTTTTAGTGCTTGTAAGGGGAAAAACATTTGAATCAAAGACTATTTCCTCTAATCAAGAAACGGAATTTTGCTTACAGGACTATGGAATACTGGCATCACTATTATATGTTGTTGCTGATAGTATTGCTGCTTCTTCAAGTGCCATTGCCTTCGTTGAAAAGTAGAGATATTGATTCGTACAAGCATTTTTGGTGCCATAGAAGCTAGTGTGACTAGTCACATTGCCAGATTTAAATGTTATAAAAAGCAACAATAGTTTTTTATTCTAATATAATTCAATTTGACTAAAGAGTAGAATAATGGTCTTTTTGGTATGATAAAAAAATTGAAGAATGAAAAGTTAGAAGGACGGAAAGTTGAAGGGATAAATAAAACATCATGTTTGGTAAGGAAAGAACATAGGAAGGGTGGAAAAGTTGATGGATTAACTTTTCTTCTAACTCACCAAAATTAATCCCTCCAAAATCAGAAGAAAAGTGGATGAAAAGTTAATTATTTGTATTAATATGTATCTAATTTGTCTATATATTATGTATACATTAATTTCATATAAAAATACAATGATAAATTGTGTATATATATAAAATAAAAAAATAAAAATAAAAATTTTAAATTAAAAAATATATATTTTTTCATCTTAACTAGGGATAAAAATTTTCGACTCAACACGATAACACGACTCGAACTTGAAACGAATTTTATGACACGAACTTGAAAATTACCTGATATGCAAACAAGAAATATAAAAAATTCATAATTTTATGACTCAACACAACTTGATTATTCCTCCTAATATTAGACAAAAAAAATTTAAAATAAAAAAAAAATTGGTCATTTTTATTTTACATCTATCCAATCAAACACAAAAGAAGAAAAATGTATCATTCCTATTTTCTATTATTAAAGGAAGAAAAGTGTATTTTTAGTATATATAATGCGTATAAAGTGTATCACTCTTACTTTCAATCCTTCCTACTTTTCATCCTTCTTACTAAACAGAGGATAAGTGAGCAAGAAATAAACGGATAAATGAATGAAACAAATAATTTGAGGAGCAATATACCTAGCCTTCAACACAAGAAAAAAGGGGTGTGAAAAATTCCATTTTTTGGGTCAAAATAATAATAATGATGATTCTTAGTCCTGTTCGTCATAGATAGTCTTGTTTTCATTTTTTTTAAGATGTATCAAAAACACTTTATACGCATTACATATAATATAATACATGTTGGACAAACTAAAAAAATAGGGAAATTTATTGATTAAAGCACAAAACAAATACTTCATTATATATATATATATATATATACAATACAATTCAAATTTTAAAAGATAAACAAAATGACTTTTATTTTTTGCGATTGAAATCTCTTTAAATTTTATTTTTAAAGTTAATCCAACAACTAATATTAACATCCCAAATTTAATAGTGAAATAGGTCATAAGAGTGTGTTTAGGATAACTTTTTAAAAGTATTTTTGTGATTTATAATTTTTCATAAATACTTTAAAAAAAATAGTATTTAAAATTGTGTCACCACCACCCCCACCACCACTACCATTACAACTACTACCACCACTACCACCACTACTATTACCATTACCATCACCACCACCACCACCTTAGCTTCAACAACCACCACCACTATCACCACGCCACCACCACTACCACACCCGCCGCCCCACTGCCATTCCTATCGTCCTACTACCACCACTCTTTTACAACAACCATCACTCTCATCGTCGTCGCCGCCGCCACCCCATAACAACCCCACCACCACCGCCACTTCCACCCACCATCACTACTACCGCTCACCTCAACTACAACCGGTGCTTAAATTTTTTTTCTCTCTAAATACAAATACAAATATGTTTATTATTGACTTTTTTTTATTACACCATGCCTTCAAGCACGGAATATAACTAATATACATATATAGTTGCAACAACTATTTCCTACGAACTTTGGAACAGCAGATCCGTGTACTGCTCACATGCATAAACATGGTAAAAAGTTGATACATAACTAGCTCGGTCATTGGTTTATTGAGACATAAATGCTACTTTCTCCAACCAAAAAGTGCACACAATAGTTATTTCATTGAATTTCTTGATTGTATTTTGAGGAAATTTGGTTCCTACTGTTATGCCACTACAGTTGAATTGTATTATTGGCTGGAAATAATTATTGATAAAACATGAGCCTAAGGCATTATTCATTAACCAGTGTAATCATCGGCTAAACAACCCAAGCCCTAAAAGCCGATTACCCTTGGTCCAATTACCATTTGTTAGCGCCTAACAACTCAAGCCTTACCATTGCGCTAACAAGAGTGGTACAATTTGAAATAAAAAGGCAACCAGAATGGAGTGTAGTGTAATATATAAAAAAAAAAATACAAGGGTATCTCTTGATATAGAAAATGGCATTTCCATTTAATTCTCAGGCACACACCATCATTAAAAAATGACATACAATGAAAAATCCTTGATTTACATAGATACAGAAGCTATGAATAAGTATATGCAAGCAATAATGCTATAAAATGAGAACCCAAAACAGCGAGGGGGAGAACAATAACCAAATGGGGTGAGAGTTAACCTTTGGAAGAACACCTACCTGCCGAGCACCCTCAAGAGGAGCAAAAAATTTGTTTTCATCAAATACAAACAGCTAAGCGTACACTATGTACCTACGGGCCAGTTCCACGTCTCAAAACGACCATAACTTCTCCATTTTAGATTAACCGTCACTGGTAGTGGCTTTTTTACGGAGAGGAGTTGGGGAACTCTACAAGAAGGAACAAACTTGTCAGGCTAATTAGTTTGAAGACATTGTTGATCTGTTCGGGGCCTCAGCCAAATGGGGAAGGAACAGGTCCTGCCAGGGCATGTGCATCTGATCTTTTAATGCTTCCCATACCACATATAATGCAACCAGGTGCTGCAAGAGCCGAAAATTTGGACCCACAGAGATCACAAACATCATATCCAATGGTAGACAGACGGCTGAGTGTGGCAGCACAAAACTGAGAAGGATCTTCCAATGGATCTATAGACTTATTGGACAGGTTCCTCTGAACACACATGTCAATTAGGCTTCTCAACTCATCTTGCTTGCTTGGAGGTGCTTTAGATAGGAGCAGTTCAAGCATCTGCTTGGCATAAGCATAATTCTGCACATCCATGTTCCGTTTGATTGCAGTTCGAATGCAATTTATCCGGTGCTTTGCTTGAAGTGGTAATGAGCCCAGATGGCGTGCCAATCTTCCCATCTCATCTTTTGCACTAATGGCACTGGGACCCAGGACTTTCTGCAGTCGCCCAATTTCCTGTATTGAAATCCAAAGGATACGCATTCACGAAACATTACAATAAGTGTATTAAGTTACCAAGAAGAGGAGCCATTTAAGCACAAGCTCCGACAGAGTGGAGTAGTAAGTTACTCAAAAGAGGTGCTGTTTGTGCCACACTCCGACACTCTTACTAACGGATGTAAGCTTTTGTTTTAAATATATATCCTACTCAACCTACGGTAGTTATTCCTGTCGTTAACCAATATAAGGATTCAAATGGCCACAAGAATACTTAAATGTTTGGCTTCTTCAAATTTCATATCTGAACTGTTTCAACCCAAGGTGACATGGTGCAACTAATAATCAGTTTCACCCAGATCACAGTGGCTGGCAGGGTCAGAAAAGTGCAAAGACCAACATCAACCTCTAGCTGGGTCAAAACTACTTGACCCACTTGCCATTTATCAGGTGAAATGCACTTCGGGTTATAGTTTTACTGTTGCAACTTTATGTTATTGCGGAAAATTTAATGCCTTCCCTCAAACGGTCTCAAAAGTATCTGTTATTATTTATTAACATTATAAAGGAATAATTACATAAAAGAAAAAAATATAGGAGCAAGAATTATATTCTGAAGACATCCTTGGCTATTGTCAAACTGGCACTTGAAACACATGGAGAGGACTCAAAAAGTTTGAACATCCGTATTCTTCCAGGACCAACTGAAACACTCAGAAGGTCAACAAAAAAGCATTTGCAGACCATGTCCTTGAGAAATAGAGGATATCAATCTTAGTTTAAGTGGAGCACAAAGAAAAAGTACCTGAAGAAGGGTAACAGCAACTTTGTACTGGGCACATATTGTGGCTTGAGCCTTGATGTCAGCTCCACGAGATTGATCTTTGGCTAGTGCCAAGAAAGCCTCATCAAAGCAGGACAATGCATCCGGAAGTTGATTCTGCTCAAGATGGGCAAGACCAGTCTTGAAACAAACTGAGGCTGCAGCCCCACGGGGAACCTGCAATGAGAAAAAATTGGAAGATAAGGGAGAGCTAGGAAAACTGACTCAAGCTACCAAAAACAAAGAGCACTAATAGGCTAAATGGAATGCTTCAACACACACTCTGAGAGAGAGACTGAATGGATAGATTCAACTACAGCTTCTGTTCTCTGAGTAGTGCAACCTTGTGCAGCTATCTATCCCTCCAACTCCCATAAATTGATGGTGCTTAATAGAATAGGATAATCTTTTCTGGAGGAGCTTAATCTTTTGTCTCATCACGAAGAATGAGACCAAGAATTATAGTGAATGGCAGGTAAAAGGTTCTTGGTATATGATGAAAGAACTTCCGAGTATTCTCAGAAACCCCAAATAAAGATTACACTTGTCCAATTCCAACCCCACAAACAAAACAAAACAAAATAGATGGTTCCTTGCATGTTCCAAGTCACCCTACAAAAAAACCAGACACGCCTTTCATCTGTTTATTTATCCCTCCCACTCCTGGCCTGCCAGCGGGGGTGGATACATAAGACTCACCAGCTGTCTCATTTTTCCATTGGCTTAAGGTTGACCATTACTCACTCTCCCATCAAACAATATTGTATTACTCTATAAAAGGATGAACATATGGGTTTTCTCCCATCCAACAATATTGTATAACAGCCAAATTTGAATATCAGGAAACCTTAGTTCTCAAACCCAGATTTCCCAGTAGCTGAATTTGACTAGTGCAACATCAGAGAAGGATAGAAATAAAATTGGAAATTCATTAAAATAAGAGTGCACGTTAACAGCTAAAATACTGAGCATACAAAAGCAAGCACAACACCACCAACAGCTCAAATAAAATAAAATTTGAAACAAAGAAAAAATGAAAAAAGTAGTCACCTGCCCTGGACGCACAGATGTGGGAGACGCTGGACGAGGTTTTCCTGAGTTTACAGAACCCGGAGCTTCAAGAGCGCTAAGATCAAGGGGCGGGGTGGAGATTGGGGCCTGGGCCACCTGAACCTGAGACTGTGGCTGGACAGAAATCTGAGCCCTTGATTGTGGTGGGATGCCACCATCTGGAAGCCCGATGGACTCAGGGAAAACAGGTTGTTGAGCTTGAGGGGGGATCCCACCATCAGGTAGACCAATATCAGCCACAGACGCACTAACTTGGCTAGCTGCAACCACCTCATTGCTTTTAACTCCTTGAGCATTTTGATCCAACTGTGACAGATAAGTCCCCGGAGGAGGCAATGATGCTGCAACCTGAAGCGACGGTATTGTATTCTGGAAAAAGTCCTCTGGGATTGGCCTAGCAGTAACTCCAGCGCCAACAACCACAGGAGTAGCTTGTGATACAGCTGCAGGTTGTGTGAATGAGTCAGTTCCAAAAGGATCAGCAGGGGCAGAAACTGTGGGAGCTGTCACCACTCTAGTTGTTGCAGGGATAGGTTGAGGGTTAATCAGGCCAAAATCTTGGGGCGCAGCCGTTAATGACTTGGTCCTAGCAATTGGTGGGCCCAATCCATCACCAAGTTTAAGCTGTTTTGTGGCTTCTTTGATCCTGTCTACATCCACAGCAGATGCAATTGGTTTGTCTCGGATTCTTATGTGTAACTTTTTAGCTTTTGCAGTTTCTTCCTCATCACTGCTGCTACCATCAGGAGCAGCAGCACCATATAGTGACTTCTTGAATTCTTCCTCAGCCTTTGCCTGTTCATCTACAGTATTAGGACCCACAAATTGCTCAGCATGGGTGTCTAGACCCATCAAGGAATCACCCTTGAAACCAACATCCTTGGACTTGTCAGATGTGGATGTGACTAGAGATGTCTGAAGTCCATTTACCTTAATGTCCCCACTGTCAGGTTTAAATGCTTTGACCAAACTATTTTCCTTCACTTCCACGATATTACCCCGGCCTTTAATTAAACCCAGATAAACGCCAATGTGATCTGTAACGATCGACGGGATGGTACCCTCATCAGTTTTCATGTATGGCATCACCTCAGCCGCCAGCTCCCACTGAGGTATACTCTTCAAGTTTGTAGGGGTCTTTATTTCCCAATTCCCACCACCCCATTCAGGCCCTTTGGGAACCATACTTTCAGCAGCAAAGTTGGCAAAAATGCCTTGTGTCCATCCAGTGGAGCGGACTCTTAGAATCCTCTCACAATATCGCCTCAACTCCGAATCAGTGCCCTCTTCTTCCAATTTCTGAGCAAGACGTCGCATTGCACTAGGGTTAAGATGGCATATAAATAGGTCAAGCATGCTTTCATAATCTGCAATAACTTCAAAAGTTTCCTTTGCACTGTCAAACTGCCCATACCTGCAATTTCATATCTTACTTCATGTTACATGGTGTTAACCGGAGTAGTAACTGATACATAGAGGAAATGAAAACCAAGATAACAATCGACCCGCAAATCATAAGGATCTCAACTTTTAAATATGCAAATACTAGTTGTTTCAGCAGATTAGAAGAAGGGCATTTGCTAGCAGTCTCGCTACATACACATCAAGTTCACTTAGCAATGGCCCTAACACTGAAATTGTCAACCATGCTTGCGAGAGGCAACGGGGGCCTGACTTACTGTTGGTTTCCAATCCCTTCGCGTTTCGCGCCAGGATTGGATTTCACCTATCATCAGTTCTTTGGGCAACCATAAGCATAGACTAAATCCTTTTATGTAGCTTGCCACAGATCCAATCTATGTGGGGAACAAGAACATGCTAAGACATGAGAAAACAAGAAGAACTGAAGCCACCCATCATTATCGCTGCCATGTGTTATGATATAAAACTTTCAAATGTACAAATGCAAATGCTCCTAAACTTGGAATAACACAATATTCGGCCAAAATATAGGAGAAAACCTAAAGAAAAAGTAAAAACAGACATCAGCGCACAATAACTAGCAAATAGAAGAGATTGACCAGAAGCTTCTAAAATACAAACTGCAACTGGATGATTGTCCAACTATCTGTAGCATTTTCAATAGGCAGTAAACTAGATAAAATTTGTCTTAAGCCTTACTTGATACAGGCATATCCCAACTGACGAAACCGGTGGAACAAATGAGAGATCGGAGGGCACTTTGGATAATCTCTCGAACGCAAAAACTCATCCTTCAGAACAGATAAAGCAATGGAAAACCGGAGTGCTTTGATTGCATATGTTCCCCGCAACACCTAAGGCAACAAGCTATAATAACCAAACTCGAAAATAAATCAAATATTTGACGTAAGACAATAAAATTAGATCACCTGAGTGAACTGTGGTCCTGATTGGGATAATGACACAGCAAGATCTCCACACACTGGAGAACCTCTGGAAAGAATATCAAGAGATCTTGGAGTAATCCGCAAGCTGTCAAACCTTCACCCAGACAATAAAATTGAGATGTCAGATGTCACAAGCTTCCAGAAATGGGTCCACTATAGTAAAGCAAATAAGTTATCGATGCCCTGTCTTGCCATGAAAAAAAAAATGTCACCAGCTTCCACAAATGGTTTCAATATTATATAGCAAAAAGGTTGTCATTCCTTATGTTGTATCTAGGAGTAAACTTATATACACCACAAAGAGAGCATGTGTGTTTGCATGAAAGGGAAAACCTCGAGGTTATTTGGTATAGTATTTCTGACAGGTCAAGCTTCTGTTCAAAGTGTTGTTGCATAGTGGCAAAGCCAATAAGAAGTGGTTCAAGAAGCCCAACAAGACAATTCTTGATCTCAACCCTCTTCTTTTGTCTGGGATTTATCTCTGTTGGGTTTGCAAGCAACAATCGATCATTCAAAGCTCCAATCAACACTGCACAGAAACAATTTGGTTACTCGAAAGAATAGTGGTACCACGGAGTCACATTTAATGACATGTACTTCTAACAAGAGTACAAATAAGAACAGGCTGCTCATGAGCATTAAACATGAAAGTGAAGAACCTCCAGCATTTAAAAAAAACTTAAAATATTGACCTGCATTAGGCGTACTAATAGAAAGGATGGTCCTCACTCTTCCATCCCAGCCAAGCATACAGATAGAAGTGGCTGTAGAGAACAAAAGTGCAGGGCCAATCCAGACAAGGGATCTGAAGTGATCATGAGTTAAGAGATCAAACAAGCATGACAACAGTAATTATATCATCTTAAACATTGAAAGATGCATTCATAAAAAAAAGTTAAGTTTTTGCATCTGAGGATATTGAAGGAAGTCCTCTATCAAATTTTGTAGAACTGCTGGCCAATATATCCAAATCTGCGGAAACAATAAGCACCCTTTGTGTAGTTATAATTCCTGCAACATAGCCCCTCAAGGTTTCTTGCCAATGAACCTGAAAGACAGCTTAGATACCAATGAGTTTCAAGAGCAAGAATAATTATATTCAAACAAGATCATAGAGAAGATGGTATGTGGTGTACTAAATGTTGATATGAGGAACACATCATGACCAGCCATCACTACAATAATTGACCTATCAAAAGAATAATTCTAGTTTAATGGTCATGCTAAAATTACTGTTAATATGAAGTTAACTTGTGCATTTCCATGTGCCAAAGTCCTATTCTGCAACGGCCAACGAGGACTTGATTTGGAATTGCAAATCCCAAAAGATAGGTTTCAGAAAACACAGGCCATAACTTATTTTCTGATTATTTATTTTGTAGAAAGAAATGTCATACTATTCAATTTGTCCTGGTTGTAGTGACAAAGGTTGTAATATGCTCTTTGGATCAACTAATTACCTTGAGTACAATCTCATTCACTTTCAACTTGATTGACTTTTTCCCTTCAGCTTTTGTAGATATGTAATGGCCATCACTGGCTGAGACACGGTACCCTTGAACAAGCTTTGCCAAGCCAATCTGGTCCCCGTGAGAAGCAAACATCATTGTTGAGTCTATAATACAAACGAGCCAGGTAAGCATTCTATAAATATTTGACAAAAATATCTAACATCAAGAAACTTCTGCTTGGAGCACCTAGCGGGGTAGAAAAGATGCGATCCACTTCACTGTCAAACATAAACTGCAGTGGTTTCTTAATAGAGCCAACTTCCATATCCTCAGATTGATTTTGATCAAGTGTTCCATTCTTCATGTCGGCCCCTTGTGCAGCTGCTCCCGGCAGCGTATATAACGAAAACCCAATCTTATCCTCATCAAGAATTGCAAAATGGTTATCTTTAGGGCCAATAAATGCAGCATCTCTACCTAGACAAATCATGCACATAACTTGGAGTCACTACTTTGCTCAGATAAAGGTACATATCAATGGGAAAATCAATGGTTTAACCAGGGAAAACCTTTGACCATGCTTGCTTTACTATTAGACAACTGAGAATCAGTATTTTCCCAGTAAAAAACCACTTCGTTGGTCATTCCGCTGAACTCAAATACAACTAGAAATAGGTGCTGCTTTTTACTGTAAACCATATGCTTCGGATGGAATTCTACATTTCCAGGAATCTGAAAAAAGAACACAGATCAGCTTACTTGTTGATGGATGTGAATTTGCACACAAGTTACTGCTAAAGTAAACTGCCCCAATCTTTGTAAAGGGACATCCAGTTCAATTTTACCGAGGTGTAAAGCTTCTTGTAAGTATTTTCCACACCAGATGAGAGGCTATAGGCAATAAGGTTTACACCATCTACGTAGAAAGCCCTAACAGGATAATGAAGAACTCGGTTCTCTTTATTGAAGAAATTTAGCTCCAGATGAAATGGCTGCCAATGAAACAAAATGCATCAAAAATACATACATGGAAGCGCACACACACATCCATATATTCAAGCCAAAGCAACACTAATAGGAGAGAGAAATAACAGAATTCTCCAGGGTTACCTCGCAAACAGGAGTGTCTTTAAGATGATGTTTACTGTCTAAGATAGCGATGAGAGGCAACCGAGATATTGGAGCATTTTTAGCATGTCCTTCCATAAAATGCTGTAACAAGCAGATAAAAGTGACGAGTCAACATGGAAACTGGAGAAATAATGAAGGTTTTACTAGCCTCTGAAAGAATGAAGGTTATTATGTTTGGCCCCTTTTGTTTTGTTCTATGGTTGACAAACAACATGACCTTTGCGGAATGGCCCAAGCTGAATTTTCTACACACCACACTGCTACCATATTTATCAGATACACACAACAAATGTTAATATCGTGGCCACATCCTACACATGATTGACATCAATATAAGTGTGGCATGTATGAATGCACAGATGCATTCTGACGCATTCAGTGCCTCCACTATTGATTTAAACTCGTATTTTCTCAACAACATGAAGATAACTATACCACTAGTTGAAGTGCAAGTATGCAACCCAATTTGAACCCAGCCAACCAAAACAGCAGGAAAGACATTTTTATACTAAAAATTTGAATGCACTTCACCTGAGGGATGGATCAGAATTGAGGCAGTGGGCAACATGCAGTTTGAGATGGGTCTAGGCATTATGCAACAAAATTAAATAAAAAACCCTTTCTTGTGACTCACGCAACATCTCATACATGGAATGCACTTGATAGACACCAATTGCCAAATAAGCTTCGGTCTATGGCAGTGGGATTAGATCATAATCATATATGAATTCCAAATGTTTATAAACATCAGATTTATTATCACAAGGTTTTAAACTTCTATTGCATGTCAAGCTGCATTGTCCTCCCAAAATTGGAAGTAATATACACATACACACCACAGGGCACTTTATACACTTAAAAAGAAACTTTTGAGAAGAAAAAAAGAAAGAAAGAAAGGGGAAATACAATAATAACAAAAACTTAGCAACTGTCCAAACAAGTAGAGCAATAAAAGGGATGGCAGTATACTAAGATAAATGACCTGTTAAGATAAAACTAACACCTAGTTTTTGCATCTGCATCCAATAATAGTACCGCCACATAACATTCAAGTTAAATATCGCCAAAGTCGAAAGGTAAGTGCAGCAGAGCCAAAAGATGTATCATAGACATCTATTGACACATGGATACATTTATTGATATCATTCATTACCATATGCTTCTTTCTGTAATGCACCAGGCTGTGACTACATTGTATAATAAAAAATTCTGATAATTGAAATGTTCCCCTCACACCAGTGCCAATCGAGAATTCATTATATTAGTTGTTTCTTTAGCTTTTATCTTCAACATCAAGATTACAAACATCCCCAGTTTAATTTTTTTTTTCCTCGAGGTACAGGGACACACTGGAGCCTTAAGAAACAAAAATAAATTTAGACGAAGTAGGCCCGACATATCGGGGAAAAAAAAAAAAGGCCTCTGTCATGTCAATGGAACATCCAATACAGTCGGTCCCTCAGACCACCAGGACGAGTTTTGTCATCCAACCAGCACATGTATTCCCTTAAAGATAGGGGTTCACCATCAGGGACCAGGAAATATGGGGGTGAGTCCATTTGATTGAAAGCAATCAAGCTTGACACCACCTTTACATCAAATTCAATTGAAACTACATCAGAGACCTTTTGCTGTAGCACAGGAAGAACCCATGTTACCCCTTTTGATGTGGCCCAATATTAGCCGATCTTAGTGTTATATTTGACCTTGCAGCCATTGCATATCGTCAAACTGAAGCACCCAGTGTCACCAGCTGGTCCTCGATGCTGCTTAAGCAGCCATCAAATAATCAAAATCATAATCCCTCAAATGAGAGCCAACATTTCTGACAATCATAATTAGACAACTCAGTCCAAAATTTATACATTTAACGCACTAAAATGGAAACTCTTGCATCCAATGGACTATATTAATCCAACACTAGTCCAAGTGGATAAATAATAAATAAATAGGTTCCAAATTTCATCACGCGTGCCAGCTCAGTGATTTGACCAGGTGAGAAACAAAACTGTTGGTTTCAACATCTTCAAAAAGCTGATATACTTAAAAATATGTAATTTTGTCCAATGATGAGAAAAGTTATCACGTAATGTGTGTGCCTAAGTTGGATCAAGAATCAAGATAAAATGGATCTGCCTAAGTTGGATCTTGTATCAAGCTAAAATAGAGACACAGAAGCCTTAGAGTTCTCCTCCAAACCAAACCAACAAAAGAACTATCAATCTAATTCTCAACATGTCATCCTATGTGCCTAGAAGCAGATCAGTAACTATACTGTCTTCCTACGTTGGACCCAGTATATAGATACAAATAGAGACAATGAAGCCTCATAATTCTCCCCAGCATTTGTGCAAGAGGTCATATCATGAAGGCCAAGAAACTCCAACCAAAAAATCCTCAAGCTAATTCCAAGTATGTCATCCTATACGCCTAGAAGGAAGAAGCAAGCAGAGTGTGGCAAATATCCAGTTTGGGTCAACTTAAGTTCCAATCAGAACCTTGAAATTTTCTTCATAATCTATTTGTGGTTTTCATATCTTTGGATAGGCAAGATTCCACCTAAGACCTACTCCAAAACCATCACATCTACTACTAAATGAGAAGGCTCAGGCTTTGGGTACCAATATTATCCTATAGATTTAACTCAACTCCAAAAAGCCTTGTCCCGACTGCATGAATTTTGCTACTAAGACACAAAATATCATATATTAACTTGGTCACGTCACTCTTCCTATCTGTGAAGCACAAACACTCTCAATAAGGTGACGTATCCGTGTCGAACCCATGTCAAACACTGACCCTCATTAGACACTCTCAAGCACGTGTCTAATACTCTTTTATCTATATCCAATGATAAAATTTTAATTTCACACGTGTCTGACATTTCTTTGGTTACGTGTCTGACAATTCTTTGGAGCGTGTTTACTACTAAACAATAAGTATTTGTTGACAAGTGATTAACAAAACTTAAAAATTTGACTAATAAGTATCTTATACTATGAGATAACATATAATTACCAAAACTAAACAAGTTAAAGTTGTACCCAAAATATAAAAACAAAAGTAAAAGATACATAAAATATTTAGAAAAAAAAATTGAGAAAATGAGAACAATCATATAAATTATATTTGTTAGTCTAAAACATAATTCTAGATGACTAGGCATAACATTTACTTATCATAAATTACTGCATTTAGAATGAATAATATATCATTTTCACTATATTTGTGATAAATTATATAATTTTATATATAAAACACAATTATCTATAGCGTATCTCCAAATTGTCCATGTCCTTTTTTTGAGAAATATCGTGTATGTTTGTCTATGTCGTGTTGTGTCATATTCGCGTCCCATGTCTGTATCCATGTCCGTGCTTCTTAGCTTCCTATATTTCTCGAACAAAAATAAACAAAACAAAATCCTAGTAGATTAAATAAGGAATTTGCGTACACTATAAAGAAAAGCCTTTCGTGCTATGTCTGATATGGTTAGCTGACTTTGCCTGCATATAAAGGACAACAAATTGTTAACAATGAAATATCATAGAGCATACACATGCCAAAAAAATAAATAAAATAAAGACAACTTCTAATTAACTTGATAGATAAAAAAGCAGTACTACTTTACACGGAAAGAAAGAACAAGATACAGGTCATCCATGAGACTAGACATATCATAATTGGCTCTAAGGAACCGTATACTCTCACAATTAGCTATGGAAAATCCTAAAAGAAACTTCAAAAGTAGTGCCAAAACTCAACCCCATCTCCAACTATGTAACTGAACACTACATGGGAAACAAACTATTGTGAAATGATGCCCCTTCCAAGGTTATGATAAGCTCCAAATGTCAAACTTGAAGTTAGAAAGGTAAGTCATTAAAAAGAACAAATGAAATTGTTCAATATGCTAATGCACTAGTGTATCAATTAATCTATAAATTATGGATGGACGTATTATGGTAACCATCATCCCCAAAAAAAACCTAAGCATCTCAGAGTGGTACCCTATGAATCTTCTGCATATTTGGCACTCCATAAATGAATAGCAGTTTTGCTTTTATTGGCCTATGAAAAGATATTTGACAAGCAATCCAATCTCTCTTTGTATTGTAAGATGAAATTATGAAGTTATAGAAAATGAAACATGGCAAGTTGAAAAGCACAATGTGGAAAAATGATAAACTAAACTAAATATATACAGACACAGAAAAAAAAAAATGAAGCCAAAGAATACATCTCCGATAGTTGTGATCATATCTTTACCCTATCCTACCAAATACCACACAACATTGTAAGGCAGCAACTATTTCCCCAACGCACACCAAAACAGTATGAAGGAGTGGAGTGTGTTGAGTTTGCTTGTCAGAGTCAATTTTCATCATAAGATAAGAATTTGGGGAAGCATTCCTCTGTACAGCTAATCAACTACTAATTACCATTTTACAGCTTCATATTTATCACATAATATTGTTGAAATATAAATCATAAAGTTACACCCTCTCTAACATCTTCACTGAGCTTAAGCTTTTGAAGTAGATAATTGTTTAACATGGAATTAAAACAGGAGATCCTGTGTTCGAATCTCGTCGTCATCCTAATTATTAATAGATTTTCACATGCTATGTTCAAAATCTAGCCTAAGAGGGTATGTTGAAGTATAAATACTAAAGTTACACCTTCTCTAACAACTTAAACTTTTGAAGTAGATGGTTGTTTAACAAATATACTTATCCAGTCATTGAATAGATTAATCCTTTTTCATAACTAAAGATTGTTTCAATTAGAAAGCAGCATTAGTCAAAAAATCCTTTCACATAGCTACTTGTTAGAATGAACATAAAATTGTATGTCCATACATTTAGTGGTATAGGTTTAGAACATCAAGCCTATATCTTACAGTGGTGGAAATGATATACTTCTGAGCTTGTCTGTTAGTGAAACATCAAAAAAAAAAATGCAGAGAAACCTTACACTCATCCTATTAATTGATATTTCCGGATCTTTTAAGAGTACTGAACTAAGGTAGGATTGATTGTATGATGCCTCACAAGAACCATGATCTTGTTGACATAGCCAACAACCAAGTTGTAAGGTAAGAATAACATACCATCCTTACAGTAAAGTAATATTTGATACACAATTTCAATTGCGAAAAAGCTGCACCATCATATTCTCCTCCAAAGATTCCACAAAATAAAAAATTTAGCAAGTACTCTTATTCAAAAATGTGTGTGTGTGTGTGTGTGTGAGAGAGAGAGAGAGAGAGAGAATTTCAACAAAGAGACATGGCATACCAAATCTTAAATTCAAAAACTATATTTATGACCACAACAAAGATCAAGATCCAGCATTTGTCTGCCCTCCTGACATCAATCCCCAAACAAAAACCAAACACCAACTCACCCTTTCAAATGGTGCTCTTGCAGTTGTGCTTGAAGTTGATGGTCAGCTAGAATTCCAGATGAACCAAGAGATGCAAGCTTCTCCTTCAAAACAGATGCTGTGAAGCACATTGTAGTGAGCAGGATAATAAAAATATAATCATTAAAATCATCATCAACCGCTTTTCCTAGTATGCTTCTGTTAGATCTAGGACCGTTCATTGTAAGTTTGATTCCTTATCAGCTTCTGTCCCCCACTCCCACATGCAAAAATATAACTTCAGAAACCCTATGTAATTTAGGACTAAATATGCACTTACATCATTTTCCATTATATTATTGACAATTGATGGTTACATGCTTCGAAGCAATTATTTATGAGAAAGAATTGCCACATAAAATCAGTAGGAATATTTATTTTTCTTCTTTCAACTGAGTTAGCCCACGTGCAGTTATGCACGGAATATACTTTGAAATACAATAGTAAAACAGCAGTTTCGATGATATCACCTACAGCACAAGCTAATAACTCGATGATTGTGTGATATTCGTTCAAGGAGCAAGCCAAAACATAACAAGATGCCCACAGAATGGTCCAGTCATAAAGTTATTATCCTCAAGCAAATCGAAGCATATTCAAAAGAGAACAACAATACAATAATTAAACAAACCCTAATCCCCTCAGATTCAAGGCGAAGCATATTCTAATGTATTGGAGCCATGGCAATTATTAACACAACCGATGAACCCAATATGAAATCAACACGAAACTAGCAAGTTTGAGTTTACCCTTAATGGGTTTAGGTGTTAATAGAGTGACCCATCAGACCCACCAAGTAAAATTCTATAAACAAGGTGACGGTTACATATGACTGATATCTGCCTAACCCATTATGACTCTCAGAAGCTAAATGCCTCATCAAAATTATATATCCTCACCATATAATCCAATTTAGTTGTACAAAATTTACTATCAAAGTACAATATTGATGGGAAAAACTCCAAAAGCCAGTTGCATAGTGAGAAAGGGTACATCAACTATATGATGCAGCAACGTAGAAATGTAAATCCAATCACAATTAATACAAACAGACTAGATGCAAGTTGCCAAAGTATTCTCCAAAGCGTGATGCACCAATGGATATCCATAGTGAATAAACAATCACCTGAAGATCCCCGTGCACTTTGCAGAACTGCAAACAGCTGCTTCCTTCCTTCCCTTGTGTATGCAGCTCTATTTTTCCGATTGTCTCCACCAGTCATACTCTGTTACAAAGCAGACAGTTCCTACTTAGGCATCAACTAACCAAAAGGAAATTTATAATGTCAATGGACAAACTTAACTGCAAATAGCAAAGCTGCTAAATTTAACTTGGGGTGAACTTCTAAAGCTTTAATTTGTGGTAGGGGATACACTGCCTCTCCCCCTTGCTGAGAGAGAATGCGCGGGATGTCAATTGATTCAATTGCTGCAAAACAATGTGTAAAAACTATCCATTAGTGCATAAATTAAATAGATATATGAAACCAACAAACCCTTATCCATTAGTGCATAAATTAAATAGCCATATAAAACCAACAAAGCCTTATCTCAACTATTTGGGACAAGATACAAAGGTTAACAAGCAACATTAAATGAAGGCAAGATCAAGGATCATATTGAAACGCGAAATCAAAGATCAACATTATTGAAAAGTTGAAATTCCTTTTGGATTTTATTGATACATTCTGATAGAGCTTTTGACTTTCATTTATATCAGGATGCCTTGTAATGATCTTTCCACATACAGCCATGCCAACTTATCTTGTAAATTATTCCCAACAAATTGAATTGATCTTTCAATTTGGGCTATACTTCAAATATAACGTCCCAAAAAACTTTGGAAAAATGTGATTTCAAAAGAAGAGACAACTAAATCATTTTGTTTAATTACCCTGAGAAGTGAAATTGTCCAAAAATGTATTCCCAAAGGATGGGATTGTCCTAGTCAAGATCCTCTAAAAACACAACCATTTCAGAGAAGTTTTCATTGCTTTCTTTCCTCTCTAGCACTCTTGGACTGATCATCTTAAACTCATATTTGAAGAAATACTTGTGGATATAGACACTTTTACTCGCCAAGCATGATGACCCAGATACCCAACACATATAAATATAACAGACTCCCATCCCCTTCAACAATGTTTACAAGCATAAAAATGAATTACACTGTTTTATAAGCGCAGCAGACATTTTTATCCTTACAACCTAAAAGAGAACTTATGCTGCACATGGGGTCATCACATCAACTATATTTTCTTCACTCTCATCATCTCATGTGTGCAAGAAATGAGGGGATACAATAATAGAATAGAATTTCAATGATCTAAAAGCCTTCAACATCCTTATTCGATTCTTTAATTCTCGATTTCGAACTTGCCCCCATCAACCCTCGAGGAATTGTGCATGCGTTACAAGCAAGGTTGTCAAACGAGTAAAGCAGTGCATAAAATTTTTAAAAATGACATATCATGTATCATAAGATACGTTCAAATTTAAAATGATATATTACTAGATATACATACCTATAAACATAAAAATATGTGTTGTCCAAAATAATATAAATACAATTTCAACTTATCATTTCGTGTGATGTGTGTTAGATACCGAGTGCGAAAAGGACACTCCTCCATCCTCACACCAGAATCAACATATAGCTCGAGTTTTGTTTGTTTGAAGAAGAAGAAGAAGAAAGATGGAGAAGGAAAACGAGAAAAAGAAGATGATCACGGGCTTCGTCTATTTGAAATCAAAGCAAAAAGAGAAACATATCCCACAAAAAACGACAATATTTAAGTATTTTGAGTAAGAAAAAGTCTTATGAAATGACATCACCTCATATTTAGAGGCAAAATTTTAAGGAAAAAAGTCTTGTTCGTATTGTTTTTTAACTATATCTAAATGTATAATAAGATACATATTGTAAGATTTCGGAGAAAAAACAATAGAACTCGCTAAGATGTATTGTTCTATCATTGTACCGAAACTTATCATAGGGCACATATCACATAACGCTGACAACTATGGCTACTGGTAGCAAGGTCTGATACCAACCATCAGCGAAAACCATATCTTATAATAATATAATTTTTAAGTCTAAGGAAAATTGTTGATAATGTTTTCGGCATAACTAGGCTATCAACACTAAGAAATTCACATCAATCAAATCTAGGCTATCAACACTACAAAATTCGATCAAATAATCGTTGGAAAAATGTTCTCAAACATGGGTGATGTGATCCAAAAAACAAATTTCCAACTTCAAAATTGTGAGCATCTTCAATATAATTTGATAACCGTTAACCACAAAACTACGATGACAATACAAGATCCTCCATGAAGATAAAAATTTGTGCCGATATCATAGTTGATGCAACCCATGTTATAGTTTTTACGATAAGAAAAACAAAAACGATGAAAAGTAGATCCAACATAAAAATCCCAAAGAGAGGGAAAAAAGATGCAACTTCTATGTTCTAATAGGCAATAGCCTTGATCACTAGAGAAAAGAACAAGACGACAAAAAGAAGAGAAGAGAATAATAAAAGGCCAAAGATCTAGCAGCTTTTATCAGCTCAATTTCTTTCAACACCACCCTTTCTCATTTCTTCCTTTTTCCTCCTTTCATTTTAGCCTTTCCTTCACTTATTTCCTAAGCCTAATAAACCCCAATATACCTAACAAGATCTAGTACATTAGAACCTAGAATATGTATACTCAACTCAACCCAGCTTTGTCGCAACATCTTTGGCCTCAGCTACATGAATCATGTTTTGTCAATGTGCTCTATTAAGAGTCATATTTTATGTTAAATATCATAGCTTTTTTCACTATCAACTTTAAAGTTATTTTTAGTCTTCCTCTACCCCTTCGATTGCTATCAATACTATCGCATTGATTCTTATCACTGGTGCATTAACAGGTCTTCTGTGAATATGTTGAAAACAGCTAAGTTGATTCTCTTTTAAATTATCTTCTATATGTGCTAGCTCTACTTTTTACAAATTTTCTCATTACTAATTATATATTTTCTAGTTTTAAAAAAACTTATCAAAGCATTCTCATTTCCAAACATGCTATTTCTTAGTTGTGCACCACTTTGCACTATAAAACAGAGCTGGACTTATGACTGTTTTATAGAACTTTCCTTTTGGCTTAAGAGGTATGTGTTTATCACACAATGCATTAGATACAATCCTCTATATAGTCCATCCTACTTTAATTCTTCAAGTAACATCATCAAGAACTTACGCTTCCTGTGAACAATTGATCCCAAATATCAAAAGTATTCACTCTTCCATATCTCTTGATCTTCAATCTCTACTATTTTCTTTGATCTTTAATCTTTACTGCTCCCCGATTTGAATTCCACATTTTTTATAATTACATTTTGTATATTATAGGACCTAGCATATGTATAAAACAACTAAAATAATTTTCTAGACATGACTCTAGCCACAATCAATTTTTTGCACATAATTCCACAAGAACATATGTATGTAAAATCTGAATTACTCTTGATATTCTTTAGGCCATCCTGTTAGGTATCCTTGCAGAAAATGCCATGAGAGTATTTTCCAGACATTACAGACCATTAAGTTCAGATTGTTTGTTGCGGTATGATTCAAGCTCCCTTGGGAGTTGGGAGGCCTCGGAAAATCTTGAACTTTACCCCCTCCACTGTGCTTGATTGAGGCAACTCATAGATAGCCGTGGAATATGCCACATGTGGTTTATTTGTCCACGGCTTATTATGAGATAGATTCTGGATCTGTCTAGGGCCTCAAAGGCACCAATTACTAGGTTTGTAGACCTGATGACAAGATGGAAGATTTATTTCCTTGCACAACTAACATCATTACTCAAGACAACAATACCATATGGTAGAAATTGAAAAACCTTAACACCCAAGGGAAATTCAGTATCTCAAACATATATGTCAATTAGAACCAATCCACCAACGTAATGAATGAAATGAAAAAACTGAAATAAGCCTCCAACATGGAGGAAAAGTAGCAGCAGAATTGTGGCAAATAACTTGTACAGTGGAAAGTATAGCATAAAAGATATATAACTCAATTACAGAACTTCACCATATCAGAACCATAATTTCAAAAGGTAAAGATCAGAATACTTTAACTAACCTGCAGGCTCAAAAAAATTTGCTTGCATTGGAGGTCTATTAGGATTCAGTATCACTCGTGTTTTCCATACTTGAAGAGTTCCATCCTTGGATAAAGTAACAAGTGAGTGTGACATTGGCAGCCAAGCCACTGATGTGATTGGTTGAGATCCCACTTGTGTACTGGAATTGCAAAGAAAATCTAAACATTGGAATTCAAAGAAAGAACCACAAATAGAATAAAACCCATTAATTGATCAGAGATAACGCCAGGAAAAACAAAATACAAGATCCATATATTACTCCCTGTGCAAACGAATCATTCATAAAATTGTCAAAGTCCTAGAAATTTTATAACACTTCCAAGAAGTAAAGACACATTATTCCGTCAACCATATGCACTCAAAATGCGGGGAATTACCCCAAATCACATTCATTCGAAGGAAACAACTTCATTATATAAGTTAATTGATTTCACAAAAGTGCCGTGGCACCATAGCTAACTTAACAATGATAGCAAATGCCCCAAACACCAAGAAAATGGTTGGTGCAACTTATTCATTAAAGTTTTTACCAAAAAAGAAAAGTATTACTTTCCATTTTTGAAAAAGAATAAAAGAATTTATTTGCATGCATAGAAATAAGCAGACGGTATTAAAACTAACAAAAAGGTCCAATCACAGACACACATCACAATAAACAGGAAGATAGTATGTCTTTCCTGTGTCTTGGAAAAACTTTCATAGAACACATAGTTAGTATATTCTAGTCAAATGCATCTGTGCAAAAGACCAGTTATCCATTCATTAAAGTTCATCCTCAGGAAGCACTACTCAAGAGGTTGGATATTCTGGTTTAACAAACACTAACCAACTAACTATAATGGGAAACTTTGGTTCTTACAAGAAGATCATGATTATGAATAATGAGTAGATCCTGCCTCCATAACACCGACATGTTTATTTCTAAGTTATAAACCCAAAAAAATTAGTTAGTATATTCTAGTCAAATGCGTCTGTGCAAAAGACCAGTTATCCATTCATTAAAGTTCATCCTCAGGAAGCACTACTCAAGAGGTTGGATATTCTGGTTTAACAAACACTAACCAACTAACTATAATGGGAAACTTTGGTTCTTACAAGAAGATCATGATTATGAATACTGAGTAGATCCTGCCTCCATAACACCGACATGTTTATTTCTAAGTTATAAACCCAAAAAAATTCCAGTAGGGCAACTATACTCGAAAACATGCAAAACCATCAAGGCAATACAAAATTTCACAATATATGGCAGCTCAAATCAGCCTAACTCACATTCCAATCATAAGAGGCCTCTCGGTCGATACATCCCATGCAAGAAGTGTACCCCGTCTATCTCCAACAAAAACCCATTCTAACATTGGATGAAATCCAAATGCACCGGCACCCATGAGCTTAATCGTGTTGTCAACTACAATGATTGACAAAAGTTAAAAAGTGCAGGTCAAAATGAAATTATTCTGCATAAAAAAGACCAAACTATCCAATCCTGGTGATAATTGAAATGTGTTTATCAAATCTTACGTTGTAATGTGTAGTAAACAGCATATGTATTGATGTTGTAAGCTCGAATTAAGCCATCTTGATAAGCTACATACTGTGAGGAAAAAAAAATTAAGAAAAGGAAGGGAAAAAACTGTTAAAGTATACTACGAAACACAAAAGTTATAAGATTTGGACAGTACATTAGCAGTCACAAAAAGCCAGTGGAGACCAAATAAAATTGAAAACTATCTCAAACAAGCTAAACATGTTACCAAGACAGGAAGGCGAGGATGGCAAGCAAGATTCACAATAGGTTTCTTCAGGTCTGTCTTTATTTTTGTTGGTGCCTTCCCCCCTTCGACAGTTCCAACAACTTCATGCCAGCAAAATAGTCTTAGATTGCAGATAATATTGATCAGGATAATTTAAAAAGAAAAAAACACTAGTAACTGGTGATTTAGTAGCAACCACTTCTTATAATCCAGATTCCAGGTAGGGAAAGGAGATAAAAAGCCAGCAACAGTGAGAGAGTGCTTGCATAAAACAACAAACCTGTAACGCTCATCCTACGGTGGAAACCAAAGAAGACTACAGGCTGAAGGGGGGTCAAAGCAAGATGGACTTCTGTGTCAGTAGAAATTTGTTCCATCCTCTTTTCAGGTGAATGCAATACACAAGTCTGCTCAGCATCAAAATCACATGATCGAATCGTACAATCCTGCAAGACGGGAAACACGTATAAATTAATGTCACCCCCATGAGAAGACTGGAAACACAAAACCAAGTGATATCTAATTCCTACTGCACAAATCAAGAACAAAAGAATAACTATAAACACAGAATGATTCATACAGAATATAAAATCAGGAAGATAGAATGCATCTTCCAATTCCATTTACCATGTTCCAGCAATCTAGATGATCATAATGCTTATATACAATGCCCCATAATCGGAGGCATTCCAATCACAAACTCAAAGACAAAATGTCTATCAATACTTTCTTGTTGAGTTTCATTCTCGCTTCATTTACTGCTACCAAAGGTCCAAAGCACATTCTTTGACAAATTTAGAACAAAGATAAATTCAGTGCAACGTTAGTAAGCTAGTATTATATCACATATAATGTGCAAGACAAGTACAAAACTTGTGTTAAATAATAATTCATCAATATACAATATAGCACACATGGTTGAAACACAAAGTACATAACTACTGTACAATAAAGCTGTTAAATTCGAAAATCTAACGCATAAGACATCAGGCTACAGATTAGAAGTCCTACTTGGTCCTAAACAAAATAGTTACTTTCGGGCATTAGAAAACGTAAGAGAATCTAAACAACTCGAACAGACAAGGCTAGCAAGTGAACCAACCTCAAGTATAGCAATCACTGTGTGCCCGTTAATCGGACTATAAGACATACGGACAACAGGGGAACCAATGTCAATCGAAGAGATTTTGCTTCCAGTATATGTATCAAATTCTGCACGCAAACAAAAATTCAACAACATCACGCGGCAGTTTTAATTCATAAATATGATTACAAAGTTGAAAGCTGATCACTAACAAGGAATGTTAATGTTCATTGAAGCAAAATGGCTTCTAATTATCAGATCAACTATGTAATTAGCTGATGTGACCGAGAACAAGGGGGAAAAGAACTAAGTATACCGATAATGTGGCATCCTACGGCGGCAGCAATGAGTGCCTGAGTAGGGTGAAATGCGGCGGCGTGAGGTTGCAAGGGTTTGGAACTGCGACCGACATGCCGGAGATCTAGATGCTGTAGTGTCGCCCACTCCATCTGATCCTCCCCAATTACACCTACTAATATCTTGTTCGAATCAGCTGGAGAGAAACCAGAGAGAGAGAATGACTTAAGTTGAAACTAATTCAGATCATACATCGAATCAACAAAAAGATGATGAAAATAGAGAAAATTGGGTGACTGATACGGATCGGATCGGCGAGGCGAGGACTTCATTGATTGGTGGTGAAGATTGTGAAATTACCTTCGCAAGAATTACTCTGGTGGAAAGCTCATAAGAAGAACAAAGAGAGAATGCGGGAAGATCGAACTTTGGAGAGAGAGAGAAAAATATTTCAGAACCGCGATGACCATTTCCCAAAAAAAAAAAAGGAGAGAGAATTATGTCCAGACCCCTAAAATTTATCACTTAATCACTTAGACCTCTAAAATTTATCACTTAATCACTTAAAATATTACACATAAACCCTCTAAAATTTGTACGCGCGTAACACTTAGACTCTGCCGTAAATATATCAGTTAATAAATTACAACCAGATCCCCTAAATTTATAAACATTTATTATTTAGACCTCTTAAATTTAAAATATCTTAGTTAAACAAAAAATATCAAAAATTTTAAATTTTATTATTAAAATTCATGTTTTATTGTATTATTTATTAAATTTAAATTAAAAATAAAAATAAAAGTTTATTTTTTTATTAAAAAATTATAATTACTATATAATTATATTGTCTATTAAAATTTAATTTGGTCATTTAAACAACCAAATTAAAATCTCAAACTACCTCAATTAAAACTAAAAGATATTGTATCCATTATAGTTTGACCACTTGTTTAATTTTTTTTAGTTTTATTCTAATAGATAATATAATTATATACTAACTATGATTTTTTTTTTAAAAGACTAGATTTTTGTTTTTAATTTTATTTTAATAAATGACATAATATAACATGAATTTTTAATGTAAAATTCATGTTATATTATGAATAACTTAAACCCTTATTTGATTTTTTTTAGCTTTATGTCAATAAATGGTATAATTATATATTAATTACGATTTTTTAAGAAAAATTTAAATTTTTAATTTTAATTTTATTTCAATAAATGATACAATAAAACATGAATTTTGATTGTAAAATTTAAAATATTTGATATTTTACATTTGATTGGAGTATTTTTTATTTAAATATAATATTTTAAATTTAAAGAGTTTAAGTATTATATATTTACAAACTTTAAAGGGTTTAAATACAATTATTTACGGATATATTTATAACAGAGTCTAAATGTTACGTGCGTACAAATCTTAGGAGTTTGTGAATAATATTTTAAATATTTGGAGTCTAAGTGATTACGTGATAAATTTTAGAGGTCTAAATGTAATTCTCTCAAAAAATTCTCTTTGTAGAATAAAACGACGTCGTAGCTTGCTAAACCACGTGGACAGTTTACCTATGATGAATGGAAAATGCTCCTATGGGACTTAAGGCAGTTTACCTTTGATGAATGGAGAACGCTCGTATGGGACGGAAAATGCAAGACTATCCGATTATTCGATATGAATTGGCATAAAATTGGTAGGTCTATCGGATCCATCTTTTTAAATTTTAAATAGGTATACATAAGAATTGAATGTTGAATATGGAATATATTTCTCTGTTTGTTTCGTGTTTTTTGTTTTGTAATGTATTAATGTTGAATTTTAGTTTTTGATGTCGGATATATTAAATAATCATAACTCGTGCTTAAATGCATGATGAACATAAAATTCAATCGTCCAAAAAAATTTATCTATTATATTAAATAATAATTTTTTTCTTTTTATCTTTTTGATTGCATCATTTAAAATTTATATTTATTCATTATTTTTTTAAAAATATCGATAAATTTTTTTTAAAATACGTAATCCGACAATTTTTTTTTAACATATGTATACTATCATGTTTGAATAAGATTTGAAATAAAAAAACATATTAAAGTATAAATTAATCAGATATTAAAATATGTAGGGTATAAAATTCAATTTTTTGAGGGAAAAAATGGGTGATGTGATATTTTTGAGAGGAAAAATATGTAGGGAATAAAATTTAACTTGTGATCTATCTTATTATATAGATGTTTGAATTTGGTGTGTTCAATTTTTTTATGATAAATAAATTAAATGGGTCTGTAATTGTGGTGGGTGAAAGGATTATTGTGTGAGCCTAAAATTGATTCAAATCGATCAATTCATTTGGCAAGTTCCACGTCTCGTGTCATATAACTTGCTAAATAAATAAGTCGTGTTTGGTTTTTGAGATTTTCATTTGTTTATTAAATGACTCGTATATGGATTGAGTAATTTTTTATATGAATTGGCTTAACTCAACATGAACCCATTTAACCCAACACAACTGTCAAGCGTATATGAAACCAAATACATTCTAGTTTTAGATCTGAAAATAAGTCTCATTTAATATTACAACTTAGGGCAAATCACATTTTGCACTTCTTAAAGATTCTTCTATTCTCTACTTGTACTTTTTAATATCAAAGTCTTTAATTTGCATCATCAATATCATGAAAATGTGTTCTCGAAAGATTTTCAACCCTGGACAACAATGAAAACTACCAAGTTAGAGTACGATATAGGACAAAGGGAATTTTTCAGGGAATAATGCATTTTTGTATCACCTAATTCAATAGCTCAAATATAGGTAGAGTTCGCCCTTTAAAGCATCTTACTAGATTTTAACTAAAAAACTAAGAGGATACATGAAATGACTTTGAATTTCTGAATATTATTTTCTATTTCTAGAAAGCACTTTATTTCTTGGTGTTGTTGGCAATGAAAGGAAGTCAAGCTAGGTCCCTAAGGTAACTCACTCATGAATTAGCGTTGACCTGTCTTTTCATCTTAGAAACTTGCAAGTTCGGGAGCTGAATCATCGTAGGAAAAAAAAAAGAAGCAATCATCATGATTTGCATAGGAAGAATGGATTCATCAAAATGGGGTGTTCTCGTATTTAGGGTATTTTATTGAAATAAACGAAATAAACAAGGGTGTTTTTACCAACTCGGTCCGCCTGGTAAGCATTCACAAAACAAGACTCAAATGTCGTCTCATTTTCTGTTTCGTAGTACATTTTTCTTTTTTTCGATATAGCTTGCAACCTACAAAAATCCCAACTCACTTGTCATGGTCCATGAAGGGGCTGACTTCTATTATTACACGTGTTATTACATTAAATGAGCCCACGTGAGGTTGACAAGATCAGTCACATGATGAAGAAATCATTCACTCAGTCTTATAAACCGAGCCGTACTGATCAAAAGGTGTTCGGCTCTTACCAAACTGAGCTGATTGACGCGCTCGGTAATCAAGGAAGGAGTTCAGTACTTGTAATGACCGAGCTATTTACAATGGTACGTGGAAAAGATAAAGACTCGCCTATAACTTAGGCATTCGAATAAACGAATCAACGAAATTGTAGATGTCAGGAGGAATTGTTAGAAAAATATTAGCAACTTCCCAAATTGAATCGCTAAATTGAAGGAAGGTGTGCCACCTTGAATCAAACATCACGAAAACCCTAAAGGGATAACGATCTATAAAAAGCAAAGGAAACCAGGGTGAATGGTATGTTGAACACTCCCTGTCTTCTTACAATTGTCTCAGCTCCATTACTGACTTAAGCATCGGAGTACCTTCGATCGAAACACTTCGATCATAAGCAGTTTGTTCGTTTTGTAGGAAGCAAAGACTGGGAGATCAGGTTCAGAACTCACTCTTATCAGAAACATTCAATATTTATTCTTATAGGAGGTATTCTCAATTTTTACCCCTTACATTTTTGGCGCCATTTATGGGAAGATTTTCATCCCTCGAAACAAAAAGTTACGATGTTGAGACTCAAAAATGCGATCGGATCACCCATAGGCAGTTTTACCTTAGGAAATTCTGATTCAGTATCTCTTCCATCCGACAGCAACATGAGATTGCATGTTAACAAAAGCCCATATAGACCCCATGAGGATGAAAAGTTGTCTTCAGCAAGTTTCAAACCCTCCGAAAATCAAAATTAGCAAATCGAAGATCATGGCAAATCCCTCCGTGCCAAGGGGGAAAACCATTCCCTAGCAAAGTTGGTATAATCCCTGCAGGACCGGCTTGATGCTCATGACAAGTTGTTCAAGAAATTCTCTACCAGGAAAAAAGATCTGATGAAGGAAAACGAGAGATTGAAAGCCCAGGTAAGGGAAATGACCAGGAAGAAGAAACGTGTAAGAGAAAACCGATGAGAAAGTCCTGAAAAGAAACTGGACAAGATCAAAAGTGCCAAAGACAGCAAGTGCCAACAGAAAAAACCTCGGATCCAGAAGGAGGATGCCTGGAAGCAGGACATCACCAAAGAACTCAACAACCGTCTTAAACGACCAGAATAGAGGTCAGGTAGGGACCTAACCAGAAAAACAACAGGAGAATATGGAGACGAGTCAGAGTCGTCACCTTTCACTGCACCTACACTGCACTGTCTTTCCTAGCAGTCTTGGGGAGTCGGCCATGAAGTGGTTCGACAACTTGCCGAAGGGATCGGTACATGGATGGTCCCAACTGGCCGAGCAGTTCACGGTCCGGTTCATTACGAGTAGCAAATAGCCGAAAGATGTCGGGGGCTCTGCTGACCTTGAAAAAGAAGAATAACGAAACCTTGCGTGAGTACGCTCATCGTTATGGGGAGACGAAAAATGAGGTTGAGGAATGTAATCCCAAAATCGCAATTACGTCTTTTAAAATTGGGTTTCCATAAGAGAACCCTTTATACCAATCACTCACTAGAAGACCAGCCACAGACCTGGAAGAACTGATGGCAAGGATCGAGAAGTATGACAAAGTTGATGACAACTTATCGAGAGATGTCGTTAAAGAGCATCAAAGCATGAGGCAGTTTGGTCGTGACAAGCAGTCTGAGACGAACAGAGGGGGCGAGAGGAAAAATGAGAAGGAAGTATACCCTCAGAAGTCCCCATTTCTTGGGATAAATACATTGTTCAAGGAACCGATATACAAGATCTTGAATCAAATCAAGGCGAAAATCGTTCTTTAAATGGCCTAACAAGTTAACTGGAGATCCTTCGAAGAGGAATCCAAACTTTAGGTGTTCATATCATCAGGATGTAGGTCATATGACAGAGAACTACCAATCTTTAAAGCAGCATTTAGAGGAATTAGTCCAAGCAAGGGATCTCACCGAGTTCATCGAAGGAGAAGTAAGGATCGAACCAAAAGGGGA